AAATAATGCCTCAAAAATGTTCTACGAATAATGAACTAATAAATAATTTAGTTATTTCAATAACAGACGGATAACAGACGCTTTTTTAGATGCCCGAATGCCATAGTTTGTTATTTTGAAGGTCTTCTAATACCAATTCAATAACTCTTTTAGGTGTTATTGTCTAAAAACTGAAAGATCAAAATTTGTTCTTTTGGTATTCATTTGATATTTTACAAAATATACCACAAGCATACCGAAATCTGGTATCATGCCACATTAAGATATTCATTTGTTATAAATTAGCTATTGGTTCCTGCTCGGGATTCATCGAGAATTGTATATTGGTGCATTTAGCTGAGCCATATCGTCAGCATGGTGGTGGAGTTCATCAAGCAGGTGAACCAGTGGTCCTGTTTAAAGCGACAAAGCGGAGAAAGCTTTTAACACAGACAAACAGACATAACATATTAAATATTCATCACTGTAAAACATCGTCGCTAAAACATTACCGCCATCTGTTGAGTACACTGTGGTGGGTAGTACGCTGAACAGATGGCAGTAGTGTATAAACGTCAAACACAAGGGAATTGACTATGCGCGCCACAGGTGGCGGTACTACCAACTACGATACTTTTAAATTGATCGCTAAATGCTTGTTCGATGAACAACTTGCGAGTGTTATGTCTGTTTGTCTGTGCTTTTAAGATTGCCCCAGAGGCGGTGGGTATGTTTTCCGCTAGTTCGGACCATAGAAATAGCATGAGAGGGAAGGTGAGTAAGCAAGTGGGGATGTGAGCAGTGCCTGTTGCTTGTAATAATCATGATGAAGCGAAGGTGATGGTAGCCAGGCATAAGAGATGAACTAGCCTCAGGCTAAAAATCTCTAAAATAAAGAAAAAAAAAAAAAAAAAAAAGGTAGCCAGGCATGGAAAATCATTTGCATTCTTTTTGTGCATTCATTTACATTCATTTGCCCCTAACTTATTTCATCAACATAATTCCTCAAAATAATAAATGGAACTTTTGTAGGTTCTGCTATTACCTACAACTTTTGCAAACAACTCAAATCCGTATCTCTTAAGCATGACGAAACAGAGCGAAAAGAAGCCGCTACTGGTTTTCAGTGAATGTATTTTATATTCACTGAAAAACAGTAACAAGTTCTGCCCGCTCTAAATCTGATGCATAAGAGATACAGATTTGAGTAGTGGGCAAACGTTGTAGCTAATAACATAACCTACTAAACCTCCAAACAACATTTTGCAGAATGCTGTTGATGAAAAAAGCTAGAGGCAAATGAATGTAAATGAATGCATGAAATTAATGTAAATGATTTTTTATGCCTGGTGGTAGCAGAGATCATGCTTGGCATGCATAGTTGTACACACCAACTGCTCATTTGTCATTAACTTTTCACTCAGTTGTTGAAATTTGTTTTTCTTTAAAGTATTTGATAGATTAGGATCATAGTTTACTATAGATATGCAAATAGTAGGTAAATTTTAACATTTGAATCAAAACCAATGAACTTTTACACTTAAAGTCGAGATGTGCAGCGAGCATTTCTCACTTCATTTTTACAACGCAAAAACAAATACAGTTTATTACTAGAATTAAAATCTATTTTTTACGTATCTATAACAAGTTTAAACTCTATTATATCGACTGCTTCAAACAGAAATATGTGTCGTCAACTGTGTGCAAAGTTATTAGCAAATGAGCAATTCGTGACCAAAACTGTGTTTGCCAACCATGCCAGAGATGCCAGATTTACAGACTTTTATTTTTTCACAGACATTTTTTTCGTTACAGACATTTACAGACTTTTTAGTTTTTTTCACAGATATTAACAGACTTTTGTAATCAAGGTAAAATTTTAAAATTTATTTGGTTAAACTGTTTTACATCTTTAACCAAATTACACACGACTTCCACCGGAACTATTTTTTTGACATCCCCCAGAAATAGCGGCACCGGACGGGAAGTATAGCCGTTGGTCCCCGGTCCATGAGTTGATGGGTCGATATGTAGGGTTCAGATGTGGGAGCTTTCTCACTGGCGTCGGTAGCATTGGAACTCAGTAGGGAAAACAAGATCGAGCTTGCTTGAGCTTGAGCTTGATTGACCGCCCACGGTTGCTACTCTGTTACTGCCAGATCAGCTGTAATTACACAGAGAACCAATAGACGATGCTTGGGACTAGCAATCATCCTCAATGTGTAAAAACTGGTGATCTTAAATTAGGCAATACCAGCACCGGCCGCGCCTGAACACAGGTCAAGAAGGAATGGGAAGGATTGTGTTGACATGACACTCGCTTTGATGGAAGCCGAGAACACCTCTGCACTTCCACGAGGAATCACTGGGATGTTGGATAAGAGGGTTGGGTTTGCAGCAGGGTTCGTTTTGGTAAACGATAAGCTGAATTGATGTCCTAACGAGCATATAACGCGAAGGAGCTTGGGACTAAACCCACGGTCTTCTGCTCAGTAAGCAAAAACGTTTGCCACTAGGCAGACGAGCACCTTTTTAATCACCGAGCTGCTGTTATTACCATGTAGTCATATTAACAAATAAAACGATTGACGAGTCTTGAATGTGGATGGGCCTGAGATTAGACTCATGATGTTCTGCTCAGTAAGCAAAAACGGTTACTCTAAGGCCACCGAGCCCCTAATATCACATAATACCGTTGCTCAAATTTGTGTATCCATTCAAACCCGGAACCAACGACAACAACGAGTTTCGCAAAATACACGATACACAAGCGATTTTACCATAAATCTCTTTGATATGTAAGGACCTGGGACCGCGTTTTTCTGCTCAGTAAGCAGGCCACTGTAACCGACGATCTTTCAAATCCGAAAACTAAAAACTACGAAAAAGTACTTAGGCCTTCATTAAGTTTCACTTTCACGCGACGTTCAATGACAGGGTCCTATCCAGGATTACATTTGAAAAATCCAAATCTGGCCAACGCCCACCTAAACCTGTTCTAATCCACCTCAAATGACTAACGAATGGAAGACTTTGACTACCCAGCCATGCAATAGTCTCATTCCGTGCCTTATGGCAACTTGATGATTCTATTGCGCTCATCTTTTGGCACCACCCAGGGGAGACTTGGTCCTGTACCCAATGCTTAACTTATCTCCATTCCACTCAGCTACTCGCAATTTATTATTATTATTATATGAGACAATTCAATGCAGATGTCTTTCCAAATTTGGCAGATCGACAGGTAGTCGGTGAGTTACCACGATAGTTGCTATTCAACAACTCGACAACGTCCCATCGTCAACGCCTGCTATGAGAATTTCCCATTGCAGACGTTAACGAAATGACGTCATCGAGCTATCGATCAACTACCCTGGTTATCGCCTGGTACTTTATAGCACGATGCTAGGAGGCGAACCGGAAGAATCGATGAGCTACCTCTCCCCCAGGAAAACAAGATCGACTATCCCAAAAACTCTTTGACTTCCGCTGGCAGAAGCTTCCGACTTTCTTCGGAAATTTCTTCCAAACTACCTCAGGAAGTTTCTTCCAACGTCTTCAGGAAGCTTCTTTCATCTTATCAAAAAAAATCCTTTAAACTTCTACCAGAAGTATTTGTCGAATCCTCCAAGAAAATTCTTTCGTCTTCCTCTGGAAGTTTCTCCATGAGCTACTTTCGGGGTTTTTTTTTTGGCTTCTATTGGAAGGTTTTCCCGAGCTGAATTCCAGGAAACGACTACACCTGGAATTTTCTGGCGATTTCCAAAACCTGTCTGGCTTGTTCTGGATGTGTCGTCAATTTTTTTCCGAAAGTTTTCTTTAAATTTTACCAAGAAGTTTCTCAATATTTTTCTTGGAAGTCGCTCCGATTTTTCTTAGAACTTTCTTTGGAAGATTTTCAACTTTCTTCAGAAACTATTTCAATCAAAGTTCCCCGGAAATTTCTTCTGACTTTCCTAATTAAATAATAAAATTATATTAAAATAGTAAATACCGACTTTTTAAACCTTTGATACCGATAAGCTTGAAAACAATCTGGCAACGCTGTCAGGGGCCTCAAGGGTGGTTAAGACGGCCCTGGTGAGCGTTCATTATGCTACCATTAAAAAATTTACCCTTATGAAAAAAATTCCTGTTGGTCTTCAAAATCCTTGGTTGGACAAGGTTCCCTTGGCACTTCCAGTAGCTACGCCTCCGGTACGTGTGTTTAGTATAATGATTTGCAGTTTCATGCTGTTGTAAAAAAAAAAAAGAATCCGAGAAAGCATTTTCCCCGTCGGCAGCATAGTAGCACTTTAGTCGACATTGATAAAATCGTCTAACATTGAAACCCCGACACTGACTGCGGCAACGCACATAAGAAAATAGCAACAGTGCAACACGGTTCTTACATTTAGTACGAAGGAGCTTTCCGCTTCGCACCGAGCAATCTAATGAATAATCCAATTCCAACGAAAGAGCGCGAGCGGTGGCAGGGGGGGGGGGGGTGTATCGATTGACGATGAGGCACATTTCAAGAAGCGAAGTGCCACAAGGCAGACGATGCATTTGAGCGAACACTCGGAGCAGGCAAGTGGTTTGACACGTCACTGAACATTATCTAATTTTCCAGCTGGGAACAATAAAGCTAGTCAGTGTTACGGTTTGCTACCATCCGGGGGCGACCGGGAGATCGTTCCGATGAATAATTGATTGAATTGTAATGTTCCATTTACATCTCCCGGAGGAGCTTTCGGAGAAGGTCGCATACTGATTCGGAGGTAGGTTGACTTTCGATGGAAATTCCAAAAACAGCCAGAAGAGTTTAATCAGCAATTTATTTGATGAAAGCGCAGTTCAATGCATTTTGATTCGAAGCCATTTTCATGGAAATTACTGCATTATTATTTTGATTATAAAATAGATTAATTTATCTGAGCATTTGAGAATTTTAACACATGACGATCAAAATAGTTATTCGATATTCATTGTTTCTTATTTCGGATTTTGAACTTTTTTCCTGTTGTTGTGTGAGTGTGTTTCTACCTTCGTTTTTGGATAACCATGGATCCGTTGCCAGTGATATCCTCCAGGCTCGGAAATGAAACATCAAATTGTATCAGAATAATTAGATAGGTTGCTGTGGCGCCAAGGATCTATCAAGAGTAAACATTTGATTCTGATATACTGCGAGCAATGAGAGCTAGGTATTCCAGTTTTCCTACCGTGTAAAACAGAGACCAGTCGTATACGAACAAACCGCACGTAATTACCGGGCTATGGTGTAATAATTGTTGAGAGAATATCAACAGCTGAAAACGAAAGAAGAAGAAAGTTGTTAGCTCCTTGGACTTTGCACAAGATTGCAATTTACCTCGTTGCTTATCACAGTTGACGTCCTGCTGCAGTTGATAGCTTTGTGGACATGCACTCCGATGCGTTTGCTCTGTAAAATAAACCACAAACGTCGTGATAGTAATGTTTTATTAGTTACCATTCACAGATGTCACATCTCACCACGCTAGCGATTCTGCTCCCGACGGCGATGAACACCAAAATGAAGAATAAATAGTAGAAGTACCAGAAGAGGGTCGCTATGCTCATAAAGAGATCGACGTTTTGATGGTGAATTAACGATCGGCATAGGTAAAAACAGATGAAGACACCGATGATGAAGCACATTCCAGCGCAATATAAAATCTACGAATAAAAGAATTGCAGAGTTATAAAACGATTTACTTTTCAATCAATGTGCTGGATTTTCATAAATTTTATTCAAGGGGTACGACATTTAACGGCCAGTCGATAACATGGAAGGAAATACAAAACAACTGCTGTGAACCTCACTAGCTCTACTGTAGAATGTACATTCAGGTCAAACTCTTCTTTCGAATATAATTTATAGATTGTATCATGGAGTTGGGCTGGTTGCGATCAGGAAGCAGATTAAGCCTGTTACGGGCTGTCCATCAACTACTGTCTACGCCCTTTGGCAAGGGAGTTAAGAAAATGTGTACGCGTGTCTACGGAGGGGAGGCAGGAGTAGAAATACTCAGAGGGAGAGATGGGCGGAGAGAATGTTTTGAGCCAAGTGAACTGTCATAATCTGAGCCAATCGAACATTTCAATTAGAATTTTTCTTATTCTTACTAGAATAAATTTAAGAGTATTGCAATTGAACAGAAATTCAATCACCTTTATGTTTTGTGTGCTTCTCAAATTCAACTAGTTTTTGGAATCATAAACAATATTCTAACTCTATTGATTAATTGATCTTCACCGGTTAACGAATGGCACCAAGAAATGTGCAAAATATTGCGATGCAATCGATTATTATTTTGCACCTAAATCGAATCAAAAATACAAGTCATTTGAAATGTTAGCTTCTAGCAAGGGTTGCAAGATAAATTAGGAACAAATCCCTGCTGCCGAATTTTATTTTGTTTTTTCCACCTATCTCTCCCTCTGAGTATTTCTAGGCAGGAGTACAGCTACTGTCCACGTAGTGTTTTGTTGAATGAAAACTTGTTCGATAATTAAATGCGGATCCTTTTATTTTTATTCAAGAAATTGCAAATTTCCTTATAAGTTCAGAACCTATAAGAAGTTCTCTGAACTTATTTTCAGATTTGGTTGGAAATGCTAACATGAAGCTTTAGTGTGATAATTTATTAGCTAGAGAATGATCTTTAGAAGAGAGTAGGTGGATAGTTCCGTTAGAGTACGGCAGTATGAAAATTGAATAGAAGTTGAAAATGAGCGAAGGGCCATTAATGCGACAGTTTTTGAAGTTAGACGGACATCTTTTGCCTAACCCGTACGATGTACGCGGAGACTTGAAGTATGTCTCCAAGTCTACAGGCAAAAAATGTGCGTCCTTCTTTTGCTCATAAACTGACTGCGGCTGTGGAATAGTTCTAGCGACGTTTTCATCACTACCTAAAGCCTCACGTTGCGAGAGCATTTCCAGTCGATGGTGTGTTATAATGCAATTCTGTGTGTTATGAGCAAAAGAAGGACGCACATTTTTTGGCTGTAGACTTGGAGACATACTTTAAGTCTCCGCGTACATCGTACGGGTTAGGCAAAAGATGTCCGTCTAACTTCAAAAACTGTCGCATTAATGGCCCTTCGCTCATTTTCAACTTCTATTCAATTTTTGTAAAGATCATTCTCTAGTTAATAAATTATCACACTAAAGCTTCATGTAAGCATTTCCAACCAACTCTGAAAATCGCTAAACTTCGCGTATGAAGTAACATGAAAACACTTTGAAAGTTATTTTTCAGATGTTTTCTGAACCTATCCTCACGGAACTTCGAACTTGCTCACGGAACTTTGAACATGTTCACGAAATTTCCGAGAAGCTCATCGAACTTCCAACAGGTCTGACAAGAACTGCATAGAACTACCGATGATAAGTTTAGAGAGCTTCCGAGGAGAGGGTCCAAGAACTTCCATCGGGAAAATCTGAGCACTTTCTAAAAGGTGTTCAGTTATATTCTGACGAGAAGTTCAAAAAACTTCCGAGGAGAAGTTGAGAGAACTTCCTATTAGAAGTTCACAGAACTTCCCACTAGAAGTTCAGAGAACTTCCTAATAGAAGTTCAGAGAACTTACTAATAGAAGTTCAGAGGACTTCCGACTAGAAGTTTAGAGAACTTCTTTGAAATTTTCTTCGAAAGTTCTCTGAACTTCCTCACTGAACTTCTCGTCGGAGATTTTATGAACTACTCGTTCAAAGTACTCCGAATTTTTCGTTGGAAGTTCTCTTCACCTTTCCTCAGAAGTTCCCTAAAGTTCTAAGAAATTAGAAGTTCTCTGAACCTATCCTCTGAACCTATTTTTACGGAACTTCGAACAAGTTCACGGAACTTCCAACAAGTTCACGGAAATTCCAACAAGTACACGGAATTTCCAACAAGTTCATGGAACTTCCAACAAGTTCACTAAATTTCCGAGAAGTTCACGGAACTTTCGACAAGCTCACGGAACTTTCGACATGTTCCGAGAAGAACTTCATAGAACTATCAACGAGAAATTCAGAGAGCTTCCGAGGAGAGGTTACGAGAACTTATAAAGAGAAGTTCAGAGAACATCCATCGGGAAATTCTGAGTATTTCCTAGAAGTGCTTCAGATATATTCCGACGAGAAGTTCAAAAAACTACCGGTGATAAGTTCAGAGAGCTTCCGAGGAGAGGGTCCGAGAACTTCCAGCGGGAAAATCGGAGTACTTCCTAGAAGTGGCTTAGATATATTCCGACGAGAAGTTCAAAAAACTTCCAAGGAGAAGTTCAGAGAACTTTCTACTAGAAGTTCAGAGAACTTCCTAATAGAAGTTCAGAGGACTTCCGACTAGAAGTTTAGAGAACTTCTTTGAAATTCTCTTCGAAAGTTCTCTGAACTTCTCGTCGGAGATTTTATGAACTACTCGTACAAAGTTCTCCGAATTTTCCGTTGGAAGTTCTCTTCACCTTTTCTCAGAAGTTCCCTAAAATTCTTAGAAATAAGAAGTTCTCTGAACCTATCCTCATAAGTTCTCTGAACCTATTTTCACGGAACTTCGAACAAGTTCACGGAACTTCGAACAAGTTCATGGAAATTCCAACAAGTTCACTAAATTTCCGAGAAGCTCACGGAACTTTCGACATGTTCCGACAAGAACTTCATAGAACTATCAACAAGAAGCTCAGAGAGCTTCCGAGGAGAGGTTACGAGAACTTATGAAGAGAAGTTCAGAGAACATCCATCGGGAAATTCTGAGGATTTCCTAGAAGTGGTTCAGATATATTCCGACGAGAAGTTCAAAAAACATCCCAGGAGAAGTTCAGAGAAATTTATACTAGAAGTTCAGAGAACTTCCAACTGGAAGTTCAAAGAACTTCTTTGAGATTCTCTTCGGAAGTTCTCTGACATTCCTCGCTAAACTTCTCGTCGGAAATAATCTGAACTACTCGTTCGAATGTGTCTGATTTTTTTCCGAATGTTTCGTCTGAAGTCCTTTGAATTTTTCATCAGAAGTTCTTTGAAGTTTTTAGAAGTTCAGAACCTACCAGAAGTTCTCGAATCTATCCTCGAAAGATCCCTGAATCCATCCTCACGGAACTTTGAACAAGTTCACGGAATTTTCAACATGTTCCGACAATAAATTTATAGAACTACCGACGAGAAGTTCAGAGAGCTTCTGAGAAGAAGTTCAGAGATCCTACGAAAACAAGTTCAAAGAACTTTCATCGGGAAATTCTGAGGACTTCAAACTTCTGAGAAGTTAAAAGAATTCCGAGGAGAAGTTCAGAGAAATTTGGACTAGGTGTTCAGAGAAATTTTCTTCGGAAGTTCTCTGAAATTCCTCGCTAAACTTCTCGTCAGAGATTCTCTGAACTACTCGTTCAAAGTGTCGTAACCCAACATGGTGGCGATACGGCTTGGTCCGCCACGCCGGTGCTGACCCTTCTCGGCTAGCTTCGCTGGTAGTTGATAAACTGATTTTCCGTAGGTGGTCTGCTCGCTGCAAAATCTGTCAATCGAATGACTGTTGCTTCCGCTGTTCGTTTCTTATATACCGTCGGTCTACTGCAGCTTTTTACTGTTTGTTCACTATTGGTAGTTCATTCTCTAAAAGAGCCACCAATAGAATGTCGTTTTCTCTGTTGTGCGTTCTGCGAGAGGTATGCACGCATCGAAAAGGAAAAAGGGGAAGACCAATCTATTACTACAATAACTCACAAGAAGAATAATTAACTGCTCAACAAATTTGAATAATTTTATTCCAAAACCCTTATATCTACTACACGAAGTTCTCTGAATTTTTCGTCGGAAGTTCTTTTCACCTTTCTTCAGAAGCTCTCTTAACTTCTCAGAAGCTCAGAACTAATCAGAAGTTCTCGGAAGTTCTCTGAATCTATCCCCACGGAACTTCGAACATGTGCACGAAATTTCCGATAAGCTCACGGAAATTTCGACATGTTCCGACAAGAACTTCATAGAACTTCCGACGAGAAGTTCAGAGAGCTTCCCATGAGATGTTCCGAGAACTTACGAAGAGAAGTCCAGAGGAGTTCCATCGAGACATTCTGAGGACTTCCTAGAAGTGGTTCATATTCCGACGATTAATTCAAAAAACCTCCCAGGTGAAGTTCAGAGAAGTTTGAACTAGGTGTTCAGAGAACTTCCAACTAGAAGTTCAAAGAAATTCTATGAGGTTTTCTTCGGAAGTTCTGTGAAGTTCTTCGCTATACTCGTCAGAAGTTCTCTGAACTTCTCTGAAATTACTGTCGGAAGTTCTCTTAACTTCTCATTTTCCGAGAATTTCACGGGATTTCCAACAAGTTCACTGATTTTTTTCGACAAGCTAACGATACTTTTGAGAAGTTTACAAAAATTCAGTGCAGTTCATTTAATTAATCATATCGTCAGGCCATTTTCCACAGAGATGGCGCTGTTCCACTGACAGTATATTATAAAAAACTTCATATAGAAATTGACAGCAGTGGGAATAATTCGCTTTCGATGCATAACGTGCAGGTCAAAAAAGGGAACGACAGACTAAAAAACTAATTAATGGACTTTGTCGTTCACTTCTTTCGCGGAAAGTATTGTTTAACAATCGACAATTAAAAAATAATAATTTGATACCAGTCACCAGATAGCCAAAAAATTAAAATTTGAGAGAGAAAATTTACTCTCACGAGCTCAATCT